TAGGTAGAGCTTTATCAATATGTAATGTTACGTGTTGGGATCAATATTAGTTAATTGTGAATTTTTGGATTGGTAGGGATTGGGAGAATGTTTATTGTATGGGATCGTGTGGATTGTGGTTTCTGTGCTGATATCTATGGATATCGTTGGTTATGGTGAATGTGGAGACTATAGTGGTAGGTAGCTTGGCCAATACCGCTGCGTGGTTTCTTTACTAATTCCAATCCTTAATTTTAATAATGCTTTTTCTAGATAAAAGTCTTAAACTTTACGGTGTACTCATGATGCCTTTTTCTGGATAAAAGGACCTAACCAATCTACGATCTTAATTACGAAGTCTAATCAACTAACAAAATAATGACTACGAGTTAGAGAGTAGAGAATCATACGTGACTCTGGCAGAGTTTTGGTAAGCGTTTGTTAATGGGCTAAAGGTAATTTATTATTATTTGATTAATTATTTATTGCAAAAGTTAATTAAATTTTATTTAAATTTTTAAGGTCTTCGTTTTATACTTTTTTTTTAATTTTGCTATTATTAAGGTTACATTTCACATGCATCCTATTGTTGCGAGAGTTTAAGATATAATTTTAAGAAATAATAAAGAAACAAAGAAAATAAATTTTTTCGATAGAGCTTCTCAGAGAATATAAGAGAGCTTGGAGGAAAACGTGAAAGTGATATTGCAAAAGATTTTTAAAACTCTATTTCGATAAAGTTTCGCTTTGTCTAAAATTGGACGTTGCATAGGTTAGGCGATCTTCTATTTTTGTCATTATTGATTTCTATTCAAATCAGTTTACAGTAATTTAATGTACAGCATCATTAATTGTGATCCCTTCGTGAGCACGCGACTAAAACATTAATTGAGATCCCTTCGTGAGCACGCGACTAAAATATTGTGATCTCTTCGTGAGCACGTAACTAAAACATTAATTGTGACCCCTTAGTGAGCACGCAACTAAAAGTTCATGTAATCAGATTAATATTATAATTTTATGTAAATAAAGATACATACTTGAGAATAATCTTTGAATCTTTTTTTCACAAAACTGTGTTTCTGTCCAAAAAGTCATTATCAAACAAAAACTGGCTTACAACATTTATCAAATAAAAACTGACTTATAATACTTACTGAGAAACGTTCCTTTTAACTATTTTGATAATATTGGATCATCGTGTCTAATATAATTAATTAAAAAACGTTTTATTCGAATCATCAGAAATATTATTTGAGAGATTCCTTAAAGAAATTTGCTAATTAAATGCCATATTATAAAAAAAAACAAGAGGCACATAATTTACCTAGGGAACGAGATCATTTCGTATCTCAAAAGGAAAATAATATATTTACCGATGTACAGGAAGTAGCCGATATACATGAACAGGAGGCAGAGGAGGAAACGAGCAACAAAAAATGACAATATAATAGAACTTCGAGGACAACAATCTGGAGAAGGAAAAAAAAAACAAAAAAATATGTTATTGGAAACTAGAATACCAACAAATATCGATATCATAACGCGAACATCTCTAGTACCTATACAAAGTCCAGCACAATTCATTGACACCATGGTGCGAACATCTCCAGCACAACCATCCATCGACATCATAACACAATCATCTCCGTCACCTACGCAAAGCCCAACATCATCCATCAACGCTATGACAAGTCTTCAAATGCGTCTTAAAGAAGTTAATCGACAATGCTCATTAACGAAATCATCTAAATTAAATATATCTACATATGATTATTTGCATTTGTTAAGCATAAGTAAATTCATAATGCTACTGTCAGATGGGAAGGGTAAGATGGATGTTAGTAAACAGTCGCTGAAACCCTGTGGAACAAGAGTGATTATATGTCAAGGTGCATTCGAAATTGGAGAGATCATTACATATAAACAGGAGAACTTTCCATTGATCACCAAGGAAAACATACAAAATGGAGAAGTTTTCTTAGCGATGAAGATGTCTCTGAAGACTGCCGAGCATGGCTACATCAGCAAACACCCGAATCACAATCTCCTGGAATTCTAAAGGCATATATTGAAGAAAAATACATCGAGAAAGGCATCATCACCGAAAAGACATGCCGAAACTACATGAATCTATGGGGATATAATTACAATGAAAGAAGAAAAGGTATTTATTATGATGGGCATGAGCGATCTGACGTAATGGCATATAGAGAGAAATGGTTAAAAAGGATGTTTCTATACAAGAAATATATGAAGGATTTTGATGGTGATATGATGGAAATTATAATAGAACCTCAGCTTGAGCCAGGAGAAAGAGAATTCGTGCAAGTGACACATGACAAATGTCACTTCTATGCAAATGACAGACAACGAAGAGTTTGGACCATGGAAGATGAGGATATTTTGCATTCAAAACACATAGGACGTTCCATTATGATTTCAGCTTTCCTTTGCCCATGTCATGATTTATTATGGCTATCTGATGAGCAATTGCAAATGAATCTACGTATAGAGTATAAGGAGACATTTATTCTTCGTTTTATACAATCAGATGGGTACTGGAAATCGGATCATATGTTAGACCAACTTATACAAAGAGCTATCCCAATATTTGAGATATTACATCCCGGATGCATTGGTGTTTTCTGCTTTGACCAATCAACGAATCACAATGCCATGGCAGCAAACACATTGATTGCAGCCAGAATGAATCTGAGTTCTGGAGGAGAACAGCCTAAAATGCGTAATGGCTGGTATATTAATGAACGTGAAGAGAAATGCACGCAATCAATGATATTTCCAGATGATTACCCGGTGACGAGACTGAGAGGACAACCGAAAGGAATCAAACGAATACTTGAAGAACGTAATCTGTGGCCAGCAAAAAAAATTCGTTTAGTGTGTGAACGGTGCTCAGAAAAAAATAACGATAATCCAGAAATTTTGAATTGCTGTGCATGGCGAATTATGTCACAACAGCCTGATTTTTGTGAACAGCGATCGATATTAGATAAGGCAGTTACTAAAGCGGGACATATTTTTGAACGTTATCCCAAGTTCCATTGCGAATGCAATTTCATAGAGCGTTACTGGAGTTTTGCTAAACGAGAAACCAGATGATCCTGTAGTTACAATTATAAGAACTTACTAAAACACATTCCAGAGATTCTTGTTAGTGTTCCTATAACAACAACTTGTAAATTTTTATGCAAGTCTTGGAGGTACATGGATGCTTATTATAAAGGTTTGAAGGGTCGAACTGCTGAATGAGCTGTTAGTAAGTATAAGTCACACCGTCGTTTACCTGAAAATATAGAGAATGAAATGAATTAAAAGAAATATATTAAAGTATTGTTAAAATAAAAAAGATTTTATCCTTGTTGTGACTATATATATGATATATACATAATATACCTAGTTAGTATGTTCATTCTCCATTTTTGTAACAGCGAGCAAGATCATTTTGTGTGCTAAGTTTTACTGACTCTGCTGCTTTTAAGTACCACTCGAATGCTTTTTATTTATCTTTGGTAGTGCCTTTTCCATTTTCATAGCAAGATAATATTGCGCATTAAGTTGTCCTAACTTGGACATACATATGTAATTTTATTGGTTGTTAATTAATCACATGAATTTATCGATCATTTTATAAAATTAAAACAAATCATGTGATTGTCAGGTATAACCTTCCGGCACCATATAAAATTGAAACAAATCATGTGATTGTCGGGTATAACCTTCCGGCACCATATAAATTATATAAAAGTAAGGAAGATAAAAGAATAAAGAAAAAGGATAAGAATAGAGAGGGAGTATTTATATATTTTCTAAACTAATAGTTCATTAAGAATTAGGTAACGTTGATATTAAGATTTTTGTGTGAGATAAATTTAAAAGAAGAAATGAAATATAATAGAAGATAAATTTGAAGTAGAGTGTTACAAAATTAAAGTTGTCTAATGGTACATCCATATGAGTTACTCAATAATTATTTGTGGCTCAAAGTAATCTTATCGATCATGATAGTGTTTGAGTTGTCTTTCATTAATAGAATGTTTAAATATCTTTCCATTCTGATTTTGAAGTTTATAAGAATTATATCCAGTATAGCTATGAATATAGTATCATTTATTACTCCAAGTAGGTTGAAATTTGTCTCCAATTATTGAATATTGCTTCATATTAAATAATAATACTTTGTTTCCAATTTTGAATATAATTTCTTTTTGAATTTTATCATTATATCTTTGAAAATATTGTAATTGTCTATCTTTTATATTTTGTTGTGCTTCTATTATTTGTTGTAGTAATTAATCTATTATATGATATATTCATTGTAAAAGATTTTTTTTCTTCAGTGGAATTTGTTTCTAGATGAACTAAAATTTTTAATTCAATTGGTAATCTAGCAGTTCATCCATAAGTTAAGAAAAATGGTTCATGCTTTATTGTTAAATTCTGATTTGTTCTATAAGCAAAAAGAGCAGCTGGTACTAAAGTATCCCATTCTTGTTCATGTGCTATTGTCAATTTTTGTAATGTTGTACATAATGTTCTATTAAATCGTTCTATTATTCCATTAGTTTGTGGATGATATGGTGAGGAGAATTTCTGTTTGATTCCAAATTTTGTTGATAATTCTCTGATTATTTCG